ACCTCTCCTTTGTAAACTAAGACCCTAAAATTTGGGGACTATATGAAAAGAGTGATTTCACTTTCAATTCTTGATTCTCAGACCTGCATGTCTGGCTTCAGGAAAAAAATGTTGGTTGCTTGTTCAAAGCATATACTGTACCCTGTAGGATGATACGCCAACTGTTACCACAGCTGAGTCATCAGAAGGCATTCCACCTTTCTGTCAGGTCAGCGGCTTTTTGGGGTATGTATTAGTCTGTTCCTGCATTGCTATAAAGAATGACTTGAGACTGGGTAATTTATAAAGAAAAGGCATAATTGACTTACAGTTCCACAGGCTGTACAAGAAGCATGGCTTGGGAGGCCTCAGGAAACTTACAATCATGGCCAAAGGCAAAGAGGAAGCAGGCACGTCTTACGTGACCAGAGAAGGAGGAAGAGATATCTGGGGTAGGTGCTACATACTTTTAAACAACCTGATCTCACAAGAACTCACTATCACAAGAACAGCAAGGGGGAGATCTGCCCGCATGATTCAATCCAGTCACCTCCCACCAGGCCCCTCCTCCAATACTGGGGATTACAATTCGACAGGAGATTTGGGCAGGGACACAAATCCAAACCATATCAGGGTGATAGGATGTAGTAAGAGCAGTGAATTCCCATTGTCACACTTCTTTTGCTATGAGTTCCTTGATCAGAAGCAATGTTGTGGAGGTCATATGGCAACGATGAAGGCATTCTGTAAGCCCACGGATGGTCGTGGTGGCAGAAACACTGCAAGCAGGTCAGGCAAATCCATATCCAGACTGTGTGTCTCTTCCATTAAGGACAAATAAATGCTCCATGATCAAAGGGGTACAATGTAATCAACATATCAGATGACTACCAGTTCTCTCCAAGGAATGATGTCATATTGAGGAATCAAAGTAGGTCTCAGCTGACAACACTTAGAAATAACAGTGGCAATAGCCAGATCAGCCTTGGTGAAGGGACATCCATAATATTTGGCCCCCACACAGCTTCTGTCCTTACAAGTATGGTAACTTTGTACATGAACCATTAAGCAAATACTGGGATGGCTACAGAAAGAGGCTGACATTTGCAGGATACGTCACCTCTCTACCTGATTGAGATGGACAAATTTTGCTGCAGGTGTCCTTTGGTGTCCATTGATGTAGAACACAACTATCTCATATGCTGTGTCCATTTCATGAAGTCCATTCAAATCCCTCTTCTCCAAACCTCCTTGCCACCAATTTTCTAATCATGTTCCTGCCAAGTCCTTTGTTACCTAATTAGTCATTTGCCATTGTCTATGAAGCTGCATAGATTTACATCCTTTGAGATCTACATCTCAGTCTAGACAAAGTGGCAATCAATGTATTGCTTGAAGTTTTGCCCACAAAGAGGATTTATTACTAGACTAATACTATAGCAGACCAGTTGATGCCATCATTTTGTCTAAGTTTTCCTGATTATAGGAAAACATCCCCACGAGGCCGTAAATGTGAATGCAGGGAAAGGAAGCAATGCAGCAGGAGCAGGTGTTATGAGTCGGAGCCGCCTGCCTGTGCAACTGACTTCAGGATCTGCTGAGTGTGATCCCTTATATGCTAACATTAAGCTGCCACTTAATGATAGATTGTTACTGTGCATGTTTACTCATACTGCTTGGTTCACACTGGTCAGCATAAATCCCAAGGACATCTGACATCCTACAGTACACAGCTCAATAGCAATCCAAGAGCTACTCTCACAAAGATAAGGTTTTGTTGTTTTTCAGAAAAGGGCATGGCTCTACTCTAAAACCCTAAAGAAGACTCTCCAGTTGAGGCCTGATATGGCATTTGTATTTGCCACAGACACTCCCGAGTTGAATCTGCTGGGTCAATACAGCCCAAGTGTCAAAGCAGTTTGCATTGCAGTCTGACTTGATGTAGAGCCTTCTTTTGCTCTAACAACACCTCAGATTGGCAGCCTTACACGTTACTTGGTAATGAATTACTGAAATGTTGTATACACAGCTTCCAACATCCAAAAAAAAAAAAAAAAAAGCCACCAGGCATCATGCCTAGCATTGTGAAAAGTGGCACAGGGAGCAGCAGCTTGTCTTCTATATTTGTGGGAATCTTGCAACATGCTCCAGACCACTGAACCTCAACTTCAGAGGTGGTATACTCTTGAATTTTCATAGGGTTTATTATCCACCTTCTGGCACCATTCCCATTCTATGTCAGATTTTCTTTCAATTTCTATCTAGTGTAGTATAGTATGTTTCTCTGCTTATCCAACTGAAACTGACTTTATTTTTATTCACAGGTGCTCAACACGTTTTCTCTCTAGCTTGGAATTATTTAACATTGGTTCTGCTGGACACAGTGGCTCACACCTGTAATCTCAGTGCTTTGGGAGGCTGAGGTGAATCACTTGAGCCCAGGAGTTCAATACCAACCTGGGCAACATAGCAATATCTTGTCTCTACAAAAAATAATTAGCCAGGCATGGTGGTACACACCTATAGTCCTAGCTGCTCAGGCAGCTGAGGCAGGAGGATCCCTTGAGCCCAAGGGTTTGAGGCTTCAGTGAGCTATGATCACACTACTGCACTCTAGCCTAGCAAGACCCTGTCTTTAAGGGGAAAAAAATTGGCTCAACAAACATTTACTAAATGCCTACTATATGCCAGGTATGGGGAGGCACTATGACAAAGAGAAACTGGTTCCCATGTTTGAAGGAGAATGTCAATTGTAACACAGTCTGATGGGGACTATAGCAGAGATAAGAATGTGTTACAGATACATGCAGATATGCAGGGGGAGTATTTATCTTTTTTTTTTTTTTTTTAAATAATTTAAGATGAGGTTTCACCATGATGGCCAGGCTGGTCTTGAACTCCTGACCTCAGGTGATCCACCCACCTTGGCCTCCCAAAGTGCTAGGATTACAGGCATGAGCCACTGCGCACTGCCCAAGGGGAGAATTTAGTCCAGATGGGAGAGCCATCAGGAGAGGCTACCAGGAGGTAGTGATCCCTAGGCTGAATTCTGAAGGATAAGGAGGACTCAGTGAAGAAAGCCAGGAAGGGAATGAAAGACAGAGTTTTACAACCAGGGGAGCAGCATTTGCAAAGCCTGGATGTGAACAAAGAAGAGCCCCTATAATGATGTACATTTAGCCTTCTTTTCCTTTCAAAGTTTTCCTTCTGGTTCCTACTCATTCTCAACCCCAATTTTGTCTTCACTTCTTCCCAGATTATGACCCAAAAGAGTGCCATAAACGCTATGAAGACAATTTAGGTTCACCACATTTTTGGTAAATGCCTTTTGAAAGACGACTTTTTGCTTGTGAACACAGTACTAAGGGTCCTAGTTACTAAATAACTCAGCCTAAGTTTTGACATTTCTTGCTTAAACAACTTATTAATCAATTTCTCCATTTATTCCTATTATTTCTAATTTTGCACATAATTACTTACCAGCTTTTGATAACTATTAGGAGACAGGCTAGAGACACACTGTCTTCCATTCCATTAAAATTTTTCTGGTTCCATTAAGAAGCGCAGGTAGGTTCGCAGCCGCCGCCGCCGCGCCGCGGCGCTCTCCAACGCTAGCGCCGCCTCTCGCTAGCCGAGCTCCAGCCGAAGGAGAAGGGGGGTAAGAAAGGAGGTCTCTATACCATGGTTCGTACAAAGCCGGCTGCCCGCAAATATACCGGTGGTAAAGCACCCAGGAAGCAACTGGCTACAAAAGCCGCTCGCAAGAGTGCGCCCTGTACTGGAGGGGTGAAGAAACCTCATCGTTGCAGGCCTGGTACTGTGGCACTCCGTGAAATTAGACGTTATCAGAAGTCCACTGAACTTCTGATTCGCAAACTTCCCTTCCAGCGTCTGGTGCGAGAAATTGCTCAGGACTGTAGCAATTTCTGCGCTTCCAGAGCGCAGCTATCGGTGCTTTGCAGAAGGCAAGTGAGGCCTATCTGGTTGGCCTTTTTGAAGACACCAACCTTTGTGCTATCCATGCCAAACGTGTAACAATTATGCCAAAAGACATCCAGCTAGCACGCCGCATACGTGGAGAGCATGCTTAAGAATCCACTATGATGGGAAACATTTCATTCTCAGAAAATAAATAAATAAATAAATAAATGAAGTCTCTTCTTCCTGTTACGGGTAGTTCTGAATGTTAGATAATTTTTTTTTCCATGGGGTCAAAAGGCACCTAAGTAAAAGATTGCTAGTGGAAAAATAGGGGACAGAAATCAGGTATTGACAGTTTTTCCATTTTCATTTGTGTGTGAATTGTTAATATAAATGCGGAGACGTAAAGCATTAATGCAAGTTAAAATGTTTCAGTGAACAAGTTTCAGCGGTTCAACTTTATAATAATTACAAATAAACCTGTTAAATTTTTCTGGACAATGTCAGCATTTGGATTTTTTTAAAACAAGTAAATTTCTTATTGACAGCAACTAAATGGTGTTTGTAGCGTTTTTATCATAGATTCCATCCATTCACTATACTTTTCTAACTGAGTTGTCCTACATGCAAGTACATGTTTTTAATGTTGTCTGTCTTCTGTGCTGTTCCTGTAAGTTTGCTATTAAAATACATTAAACTATTAAAAAAAAAAAGAAAAAGAAAAAAGAAGCGCAGGTAATAGGCATTTCCTATTGTTACTATGCACGTCCTAAGACCTAAGCCCCAAAGAAGGAGAATTTGAAAGAAATTGACTACAGGGGGAAAAGATCCATAAAAAGTTTCATTAAAATTGGGAAAAAGTCCTCCTAACTGGTATACTGTTTTACAGATTTCCCAAGAGTCATTGTGAAATGACTCCACTATAAGAAAGGCTAATAAGCTGTTCCAGTGTTCAATTAAGTTAAATGTGTTCCTGCCATATATCCTGTCTTAGGAAGAGTACTTGGGGATATGTGAAGTGGGATAAGAAGTTTAAAGAAAATCCAAAATACAATCTCTGCTCTAAAGCAAATTCCTAAGTAATAAAGACTTGAGAGGAATACACAGAAATTGCTTGTTTATTTTTTTAAAGAGAATGAGCTTGAACATATGATTAAATATTATAAAACAATATCCTATTAAGTTAAAAAGAACTTAGTTATAATATTGCAGTTGGCTTAATTCTATATACAAGTTATTTAAATTAGCACATATTCACTGGCTACATCATCAAAATGTTATAAGCAATATAGAGGGGTAAGTTACGCATATTTATTTTTAGTAATGAGAGCATAATTATTTTTCTACTGAAAATATTTTTTAAAACCGTTATAGAAAACTAGAAAAATACAGTGAAAAATATGCATATATACATCACTACACACAAATCAAATAATCTATAGCAATCTCAATGGCTATCAAGCTAAAATAATACATATCTGAAATGCAAAAATAGCAGGAAAACCATAAGCTTCTCCCGACAACGATGATACATTCATAAGAAAATGCTTGAGTACTGACCATGGGAGTTTCTGTCAGTTGTCTGACTTGCTATCCGTGTGACAATATCTATAGATACACTTTTATGCATTCTTGCAAAATTACAAACCTTGTACAGGAATCAGGTATCTTGGAAGTAGAGTCCCAAGTAAACGCTAATAAAACACTGATTTTCATTTGTGGAAACAAATTTTAGTGGACTTTAGCAATTTACTTATTAGTAAGTAATAACATTACTAGTAAGTAATTACTTGTGAGTAATGCTCATTGGTCCAAAAATGAAAATTCGCAGAACTGTGCACTGTTTACTAAAGGAAACTAAAAAATAATAATAATTTTTGGATCTGCTCATGCCCCATCTGAAGGCAATGAATACATACATTAATAGCTCCTGTGTTCCCTGATTATGGCTACCTTCTCCACTGAAGTATACACATACAATTCCTACCCACTTGTTTTATATTAAGTACTACTTCTTATAGGTATTATAAGAACACAGGCAGGAAGAGGATACCAATTTTCTGGTTGATACAGATCCTGTCTCTGAATTCAGAGGCAAAAGATGAATGAATTATGTAGTATCTCCTGTTTTTGTTTTTCAGGTTTCATGTGTCAAACAAAGCTTGGGTGTTCTTATTTTTTTTCTTTAAAAATGTGTGCGTTTGTGTGTGTGTGTGTTTTAAGACAGTCTTGCTCTGTCATCCCGGCTGGATTACAGTGGTGTAGTCTTAGCTCACTGCAGCTTCCAACTCCTGGGCTCAAGTGATCCTCTCACCTCAGCCTCCCAGGCAGCTAGGACTACAGGCATGCACCCCCACACATGGCTGATTTTTTAAGGAGATGGGGTCTTGCTAGGCCACCCAGGCTGGTTTCAAACTCCTGGCCTCAAGAGATCCTCCCACCTCCACCTGCCAAAGTGTTGGGATTACAAGCGTGAGCCATCACAGCCAGCTGAGTGTTTTTTAATAAACTGTCTTCTTTCAGTAATTTTAGTTTTATCTAGATAATGTCTATAATGTTATTTTCAACTTTGTTGTGAGTTTTCATCTTTTCCTATGTTTTCAAAAGTATTTTAGTGAGAAGACACTTAGAAGAGGAGGGCTCATGGTTTCTTTCATGTAACACTTTGCTAATATGTGCATTTCTTAGCCTCACAAGTTGAATATGTAAGAGTCATATCTACAAATAGCTATCAAATAGTGTTTGCCACACATATACACATATTAATGTATGAATACTTTTAATAAATTAATGGATGCATTTTAATTTATCTCCAGCCAAGCCCCGAATCAGCTGGTGAATATGAATTGAGATACCCAAAAAACTATCCCAGGAAATTCTGATATGAATTGAGATATCCAAAAAACTCTCCCAGGAAGTTCTGATCCCATCCCTAACACTGACACTAAGAATCACTATCTTCTTTTAGTTAGTTGACAAAAGTGGCTCACAGAATTCCTGGAAGGTGTACCCCTTCCTCTCACTCAACATTCCCTGCCTCACAAAGCAAATGGCCAAAGAGACTTGTCCCACAAGGAGACAATGAGAGTGGATTATCCACCTCCCATCAGGATTACTCTTGTCATGCCTATATCCTGGTTTATGTCAGTCGCCACACACGCTAACTGAAACCTGGCTGTCTTGAGGATATTACCTTCCCCCAAACCTGTCAAAAGATGGCTGTGTTTGATCCTAAACCCCAGGCAGGCATCCCTCTATTTCTGTTGTCATCCAGGTTATTCTTCCTCCTTGCCTACCTCAGATCCCCAGCATATCCCCTGCCACTCCTCCTTACTGTAATCATTTACAGTCCTTGTGTCCCCAGCATTATTCCTGTCATTTTGGGGGGGCAATTTTAATAAACAAATAGATGATCCATTTGAAACCAGGGGTTTCCAAGTTCTCACCTTCTTACCTCTAGTTATCTTTAATAATATCTCAACCACTAATTCCCCCTAGTCTTGTCATTATCTAAACTTCCCCCAAATCTCAATTCCAAGCTTTTCATATTCTGACCACTACTTTTTATCTTTCCAGCTAATTCTTTCTGACATCTACGCTCTTAATAGCTCTTTGACCTCAATGGGACTTCCAAGCAACTAAGCCTGTTACCCAGCACTACCCATCTCCTCCATCATCCATTTTCTGCTCTTGTAGCTTAAATGAGTCACTCCCTTGTAAACATTCTAAATTCCCTTGCTCTTCCTCTTTCCCCTGTACCCACCTGTGGTTAAATCCAACTTTCTACCAAGCACTGAAGATAGCTAGAGGAAAGAAGCACAGTTATGCTTATTAGTTTCACTTTAAGTTCATGACTCACAGCCCAACATGGGCCCTCACAATCTACCACATACTACTAGTAAATTCAACATCTTACTCTCTTAGGAGACTATTTTGCAAAACCTCTAACCCTCTTACCCCTTTCTAGCTGATAATTCTGCTGCTTCTTTCACAGAGAAAAGAACAATCAGAAGGTAACTTCTGCATTCATCTACCACAAAGTTCTCCTATTTGGACAGCTCTTGTTCTAGGTGTCTATGTGGCCTTAGCTCTCTGCTCAACTCTCACCTTCCTAAAGAGCCTTCCCTGGTCACTGTCAAAAAACAGTATTTTCCATCTCCTTTCCCAGCTTTATTTTTCTTCATAACATTGATCATACTTATACAGAATTATACATCACACTTACAAATTATATAGAAGATTTTTTTGCCTCTCCCCAGTCTTCTAAATTCTCACTTTAGAGTATAAGCTTTGTGGAAGTGAGGATTTTATTTTGTGCCTAGAACAGTATCTGGCAAGCATTAAATACTTATAAACACTTACTGAATGAGTGACAAAATATCCAAAGACAAAAGATTTTTGTCTTTTGCAAAGAAGAAATATTATACTTTTAATGGTAAAATTGCAGTATTTAGTTGCCCTTAGAGTACTACAGTTTCTCTCTCTCTTTTTTTTTGAGTTAGAGTCTTGCTCTCACCACTGGAGTGCAGTGGTACAATCTCCGCTCACTGCAACCTCTGCCTCCCAGGTTCAAGTGATTCTCCTGCTTCAGACTCCCAAATAGCTGGGACTACAGGCATGCACCACCATGCCCAGCTTAGTTTCTCTTAAGGTTCAGTAAGATTCTCTCTTGCTGGAGGCAGCATGGTATAGGGACAAGCACGATCCTGTAGGTAGCGGGTGAGGTGGGAGGAGGTTGTGGTTAGGGAGAACATTTGGATTTTTACTATTAGCACTGTCACTAATTAGTAAGTAATGTCATTTAGGGTGAGTCATTTAACTGCTTATTTCCATCAGGGAATGTGATGAGATCCATGAAAGCATAAACCAGTAAAAAGAACTCACTAGACATAGCCAAGTATTTTTTCTTTTTTTTTTTTTTTTTTTTGAGACAGGGCCTCACTCTATTGGCCAGACTGGAATGCAGTGGTGTGGTCACAGCTCACTCCAGCCTCGACCTCCCTGGCTCAGGAGATCCTCCCACCTAAGCCTCCTGAGTACCTGAGACTACAGGTGCACATGACCCCTAATTTCTTTGTATTTTTGTAGAGACATGGTTTCCCTCATGTTGCCCAGGCTGGTCTCAAACTCCTGGGCTCAAGCCATCCGCCCACTTTGGCCCCTCAAAGTGCTAGGATTACAGGCATGAGCCACCACGCCTGGCCAAGTCTTTTCCTTCCAAAGGTTGGATGGGGACTCTCACAGTGTACAGAATAAAATTCTGTCCCATAATCTAAAGGATCCTTAACAGTTTTTTATAGTAAATAAGTTGTTAGTGAAAGAGAGATTTCTTGATCAGAAGAAAATCACATCAAAATTGAAGGTGGCAATCTTAAAGTCACTTAAATAAATGGGATAGTCACATATGTCACAAAATTTTCTAGCTATCAGTGTTCAGGCAAAAACATCTAATGTAAATGAGAAAGACAATTTAAGATTATACGTATTAAGAATATTTTTGAAAGTAGCACCATTTGTTTTAGAATACAAACAGAATAAGTACTTGGTAATGTCCACAGACTAATGAAAATGTATTGATTCATATATATTACTTCTTTTTTTTTTTTTTTTTTGAGACAGTCTCACTCTGTCGCCCAGTGCAATGGTGTGATCTCGGCTCACTGCAACCTCAACCTCCGAGTTGAAGTGATTCTCCTGCTTCAGCCTCCCAAGTAGCTGGGATTATAGGTGCCTGCCACCACACCTGGCTAATTTTGGTATTTTTTAACAGAGATGAGGTTTCACCATGTTGGCCAGGCTGGTCATAAACTCCTGACCTCAAATGATCTGCCCACCTTGGCCTACCAAAGTGCTGGGATTATAGGCGTGAGCCACTGCGCCTGGTCTGATTCATATATATTACTAACTGAAATGCAGTATCACTGCATTTCCCCAATTAGTAAATTCAATACATCCTGTACGTAAAAAAAAAAAAAAACAAACAATCCCACCAATCCCCACAAAAACCCCCAAAAACTCACCAAACCATACTGTCAAGCGAAATATTTTTAATTAGTAGGCTGATCATAAATAAATCCACATAAAAGATTTAACAGAATTATGAAGAGTTTTGTGTTCCTTTGTGGACTCAATTCATAATATGCATTAGTCAATCTCATTCTCTAACTGTGACAAAAAGAGTTGTCATCCAACAATGCAGCACAGTTTAAGCAATTCATATTCTATAGTTACATTTTTACATTTTCTTTACAAATGTAACATTTATGTACATTATATATAGATTTTTTTCTATAGTTCATGTACTGAAACTCTATTGTTTTTACAGGGAAAATGTTGAATTCATTTAATGAATAAGAATCATTCCTTGTTAAAAAGTAATTCATATAAACAAGTAACACGGTACCACTGCCTTTTGGCATCTCTTGCCAGAGTTCAAGTTCAGAAATGTTATATTAATTATAAGAAAAAAGAATTGATCTAGTTTTACATGACGTATCATTCCACATAGCTACATAAATTTGCCAGCTTGCAATGAACAGAGGACTGTACTGCCATACTACTGGAAATGTGTAGAAACCAATTCAAAATATACTTGGTGAAACAGCATCATCGTAACCATTAATTTGGGTTGAAAAAAATCTGTCAGGTTCTTTCTTCCCCTTGACTTTTTAATAAAGCCTCAGACAGAGTGCTGTGCGTTGTATCTTGTATTAACAAATTCCTTCATTTCAAATTTCCTACACGCTTCTTTGACAGATTATGCTTTATCTAGGTTATAGATCTTTTTCTTATTCAATTTTATTCTACTTCACTTACAAATCTGCTGCTGAACATGAAGCAAAAATTCATAGTAAGAAAATGCAGCTTCTGTCCGGTCTTCAATCAAATGCTGAAAAAATTCTGTTTTGGCAGGACTCTCATCTCTGGAAGAAAGAAAAGGGCATTTGTCTAAAAATATATTTAAAAGCCTTGACTTCACCACTTTGCAATCTATCTAATAAAATTCCACTTGTATTCTATAAATTTATACAAATAAAATAAAAGCACGTATTTCTAAAAAGAGTAACTATATATTTTAAAAATTACTGGGCTGAGTGTAGTAGCTCACACCTGTAATCTCAGCACTTTAAGAGGCTAATGTGGGAGGACTGCTTGAGCTCAGGAGTTCAAGACCAGCCTGGGCAAAATAGCAAGATCCCCAATCTCCATAAAACACTTTAAAAATTGGCTGGGCACGGTGGCTCATGCTTGTAATCCCAGCACTCTGGGAGGCTGAGGGTGGATCACCTGAGGTCAAGAGTCCACGACCAGCCTCGTCAACATGGTGAAATCCCGTCTCTACTAAAAATATAAAAATTAGCTGAGCATGGTGGCAGGTGCCTGTAATCCCAGCTACTTGGGAGGCTGAGGCCGGAGAATTGCTTGAACCCAGGAGGTGGAGATTGCAGTGAGCCAAGATCGTGCCACTGCATTACAGTCTGGGTGACAAGAGTGAAACTCCATCTCAAAAATAAAATAAAATAAAATAAAAATTAGCCAGGGGTGGAGGCCAGTGCCTGCAGTCCCAACTACTTGGGAGTCTGAGTTGGGGGGATTACTTGAGCATGGGAGGTCCAGGCTGCAGTGAACTGTGACAGTACCCCTGAACTCTAGCCTGGGTGACAGAGTAAGACACGATCTCAAATTAAATAAATAAATATTAAAAATTACTAATACATGGGGATGTCAGAAAATGAAATACAGGGGATACAAATCAAGTAACAACATTCTACCATCAGAATATATTTTGATACCATTTAAAGTTTGTTTTGAAGACAAGCAATTCCACAACTGTATGAGAAAGACAACTTCATAATTAAGTTGCAAAATTACTCACTTTACTATGTGAAGGACTGGACTTAATGGTCTGCTATCTCTAAGCCAAGTTATGAAGGATCTGGCTCTTTCTGATGAAAGTGTATCTAGCTCTGGAAGATGTGTCTGGTAAAAGAAATACAATTAGAAAACTATTTCCTTTCTTATAGACTTTAGCAGTATTAGAACAAAATCACCATTCCTACTATCAACCCCAATTGCCAGAACTCTATTTCTTAGCCTCAACAGCGGCAACTACACAAATGAAATTTAAACTGCTGAAAAATCTGTTTATGATTTTCTGGATAAGTCAATAAAATATGTGCACTCACAAGCATATCACTGACATTTTACCTGAATATTGTATTTTTCTTGAGAAGTAAATAAAACATAAACAACAATTAGCATGTCAGCATTGTGTAGTGCCTTTATGTTTCTTCTAGAGGAAATGTTCAAATGAAGGGGGATACCATTAAGTTCCAAATTCCCTTAGCAATTATATACTATATCCTTTTCTAAAGATAACCATTCTGGGAGAATTTCATGTTTCCTTTAATTTAAAGGCAAAGAATTTTAAAGAACAGTGTGGATATATATTTTAAAACTATATGCAGCCAGGTGCGGTGGCTCACGCCTGTAATCCCAGCACTTTGGGAGGCTGAAGCAGACAGATCACTTGAGGTTGGGAGTTCAAGACCAGCCTGACCAACATGGTAAAACTATCTCTACTAAAAATACAAAAATTAGCTGGGCATGGTGGCATGTGCCTGTAATCCCAGCTACTCAGGAGGCTGAGGCAGGAGAATTGCTTGAACCCGGGAGGCAGAGGTTGCAGTGAGCCAAGATGCTGCCACTGCACTCTAGCCCGGGTGACAGAGCAAGACTCTGTCTCGGAAAAAAAAAAAAAAAAAGAAACCCTATATGCAAAGCTATTTTAAAAAGACCTAACAATCTACTATTTTTATATACATATACACATAAAAAGTTAAGATTTATCTTTGTTTTTCAAAGCCAACTGTAAATTAAACAGTAAATTAAAAGTTAAAAAAATCCTCAAATATGAATTTATATAGACAAGTTTGGATTAATTATATTTGTAATTCATGTCAATATTTTCAAAACCATTTCCATTTTGATGTGAATTTTTTCAGATGTTTTTTAAATTATTACTAAGTATACAAACACATTTTTGAAAATATAAATGGGAATCATATCATACTATTCCCTTCAGACTGTATTTTTCTTCTCTCTCTCTCTTTTTTTTTAAGAGATGGGGTCTTGCTAGGTTGCCCAGACTGGAGTGCAATGGCTGTACATAGGTGCAGTCATAGTGCATTACAGCTTTAAATTTCTGGGCTCAAGCAATCCTCCTGCCTCAGCCTCCTAGCCTCCCAAGTAGCTGGGACCACAAGTGCATAGCACAGTGCCCCAGACTGTATTATTTTTAATAAATTCACGGCTATTATTTAATACTATAAGCACGTGTGTACATATACCTACTTCTACGAATACATCTGTGGGATATATTCTTTGCAGAATAATTTACTGTGTGAAAAAGAACATGATTTTAACAGACATTGTCAAACGGCCCTCCAAAAAGGTTATATAAGTACTACATACTCCAGTCAACAGTGCTTGACAGTGTCCACTGCCACATACTGTCTACATAATTGCCTATATCAAATTTAAAAAGTTTTGACAATCTGGTAAATGAAAGAAATGCTACATTACTGCTTTTTTCCTAATTATGAGTGAGGCTAAATATTGTTTCATTTGACCTCTACTTTATTTTTCCTTTATGAATTGCCTGTTAAAATCTTTTACCGAGTTTTCTTTAGAGGAGGTAGAAAGTAAGGAAGGTATTCTTAAAGATTTGTAAGATAATTTTTTATAGAGCAGTTAGTCCTTTTTCAGTCCTATGAGTTACAGATAATCTTAAGATTTTGTTTGTATTTTGGCTTTATTTTTTTTTACCAAATAGAAATGTTTTATATTTATGCTTTTGATCTTTTGAATCACTGACTTACAAAGGCCTTACTCATTTTAATATTATAAAAAAATAATAAAAATTCACAAATATTTCTTCTAGTGATCTACATAGTTTCCTTTTTTAAGTTTACATATATGATCCATTTGAAAGTTATTTTGATATAAGGAATAAGTTAAATATCCAGCCTTGTTTTTTCCTTAATGACTAATCAGTGGACCCAAGATTATTTTTCTAATGTTCCATTTCCCCACAATAATTTGAAATACAATCTTTATCGCACTGTGTTCTTCATTAATTAGATCTATTTCTGAACTCTATTCTGTTCCACTGATCTGTTTACTATGCCAGTATCAAGGTACTTAAATAATTACAGCTTAAGAATGAGGTTTAGCCGGGCGTGGTGGCTCAAGCCTGTAATCCCAGCACTTTGGGAGGCCGAGGCGGGTGGATCACGAGGTCATGAGATCGAGACCATCCTGGTCAACATGGTGAAACCCCGTCTCTACTAAAAATACAAAAAATTAGCTGGGCATGGTGGCGCGTGCCTGTAATCCCAGCGACTCAG